TTGTCCTGACAAGGCTCTGTATTAGCCACAGTTTTTAACTCTGTTTTCTTTTATCTGGTATTAACCCACATGCTATCTGGTCCATCTAGGGGTCTTTTTTGACACTAATATCAGTCATCCTATGCCTTTTCCTTTACTTCTTCAGTCCATGGAACTTTTAGTTCACCAAGCCCTCTCGACTTGGTCAATTACTGCTCATGAGGTTCTATTGCTTTTGCGGATGTGGTCCTCCATGACTGCATTTATCCCTCTCAGTTGTGCCCACATGAGATCCCTGCAATGGGTGCTTCATGATCAATGGAACCTTACTCGAGGTTCTCTTTCCACCATCATCTGTCTTCCTCCTTCTTTGTGAGATAATCTGCAGTGGTGGCTGGACAAAGCTGATATGTTGATGGCCATGCCACTTCTTCTCCCATGTCTGCATCTACATTTAATCATAGATGCATCCCTTCCAGGTTGGGTGCATGGATCAATCACCAGGATGCTTTGGGCCATTGATCTGCAGACACATCTGTCTTGCATGTCAGTGTTCTCAAACTTCTGGTGATTCATCGGAATTTACATCACTTCCTTCTTCTCATTCATCATTGTTTAGTCATGGTTCAATCGGACAACTCTATGATGGTGGCACATATCAGCCACTAGGGGGCACCAGGCCCAGAGACCTTTGTTTTCAGGTGTTAGAGCTCTTATACTGGGCCCATGCACATCACATTCGTTTTATTGCATGTCATTTGCCTGGTGCTTTAAATCTTGTCACAGAGCATCTTTCGCAACCAGGCCGGATCTATCTTATAGAATGAGCATTGGATCCTTTCATTTCCTGGACCACTGACATTGTTGGAGTTCTCCCCAATTAGATGATTTTGCCACAAGCCTCAATTCCCAGTTGCCCCTCTTTTGGTGAGTGTGCCAGCCAGGATTCATCACACACATATACCTGTATGTGTACCATCCAACCTGGCTGCTGTATCAGGTAATTTCTCTGATCAAGTCTTGCCGAGTCCTCCTGATAGCACCCTTTTGGCTAGCACAACCTTGGTTTTCCAGGATACAGTGTCTGCTCCTGACACCACTATTCCTCTTCTACTTTCTCTCTACCTTCTTTGTCAACCTCCTACATCCCAATCTCCCCATCTTCCATCTTCATGCCTGCCTTTTGTCTAGTCCTTGGTGAGAAGATCTTGTTTCATGCATTGAGTTGCTTCCTTGTTAGCTGGTTTCTTATGACCATCTTCCTTAGAAATCTACCAGTGTAAGTGGAAAATCTTCCACTGTTGGTCTGCCAACAGAGGATTTCCAGCTGACAAGCCTTCTGTGGTTCATGTTATAGAATTTTCACCTGGCTGTTCGACTGTGGTTCTTTGGTCTCCTTGCTTTCAGGATATCAGGCAGCCCTATCTCATACCTACTATTTTTCCTGATACCTTAAGGTTTTCCTTTCTCCTGTTTTTACTGGGCTCATACATTCCTTCAGGATTCAATTGCCACTGAGCCATCCTGCCCTCCCAGACTGGAATATGACCTCACTTTACCTCCATTAGATTTACTTTCTTTGTGCTCCTTGTTTCAGCTGTCCCTTAAAACGCATTTCCTTTTTCTGTGTCATTGACAGTTGGATCTGTTTGCCATAGACTAGTCACCTACCCTTTATCACCCTACCTGTCTTCTCCTTTCTCTTGATTGTTCCTTTCCCCTAAAACTTTGGCAGCTTGGGAGGGTTGATCATCATTTCCTCCTATTTTCCTGCCTTCTACATCCCATCTTTACTATTGACCAGATTCAGATAGAGTTCTGTGTCTGGTCAATGTCTTTCATTGTTATGTTGCACATATTGCATCTTTTCAGGGTATGTGCAACCATTTATTTATCTCGTAGCAATCCTCCTCCCTTCATAATCATCCCTCCTCTACCCTTACGAATTGGGTTCATGTTTTGGTTAATTTAGCCTACTCTTCCCTGCCATCTTCCTCCTGTACCTTGTACCATGTTTCCTCCCACCAAATCAGACATCTCACCTTTTCTCTTGCTTCTTGTCTTCATCGTCTTATGGAGGAGATTCTCTAATCCAGCATGTGGACTACTCCCAGTATGTTCATCTCCCAATATCTTCATCATCTCTCACTTTCCTCTGCATCAGAGTTTTGTCTACCACCTGTGGCCATTCTCCAGGCTTCAGTGCGACTTTGACTGGTTAGCTTTCTTCATTTTCTGTTGTTTTTTCAATGGCCTTTTCTCTCTCTTTTTATCTCCAATCCCGCTCTGTGGCAAGTGGTGCCTGTCCAGATATTCTTTAACTCTAAATCTGCAGTGTCTGCTGTGTTGACTCACACTTTTTAGTCCATGTCTATGCACACTCACCATAGAGATGGGGTGTTCCACAAGATCACCTGTAGGTGAATAACCTTGTGATGTCATTGCTTCATAAACATGCACATTAAGGACTGCCCATCCCTGCTATGCTTCATGTGAATAACCAGGTATGGTCTGCTTTTCAAAATAGTGTTTCATGATCACCTATTGCACTGTCTTCAGTGATGACATTTCTCCGGGCTCTCCACCACAAAGTCACCCTCTTTTCTTTGAGTGGATTATGGGAGCCCTTGCCAATTTCAGCTCCAAGCTGCTGGAGTGATGGACCATAGAGGCACCCTCCTGAATGAGTTCCTCAGACCATTCAGTTGACAGTAGGGCAGTGGTGTTATGCAGGTGTAGATGCGACTTGGCCTCCGAAGGAGTTGAGCCATCACCTTGCTGGCTCACATGGCTTCCTGATCATGTTACACACCAACACTGGAGTTGAGCAGTCACCTTCTGGTTGACTTGGCATCTTACTCACATTTACACAATTAATGGAGTTGAGCTGTTACCTTCTCAGCTGATGTGGCCTTCTGCTACTATTTTTAAAACCTGGGGGAATAGAACCATCACTATGTGAGATGATGTTGGCTGCCGCATTTACACATCCTTTGGAGTTGAGCCATCCCCTTATGGGATGACGTGGCCTCCTGATCCACTTTCAGTTCACACTGAAGTTGAGTAGTCACACTTGCAGTTCACCCTTCAATTGGGTGCTCTCATCTTACCTTTGCATGGATGTTGGTTCCCTGCATTGAGGTTTTTATTACAGTGAACCAATCAACATAATTCCTCCAACATGAGTTGGAGTTGAGCCGTCCCCTTCTGGAATAACATGGGCTCCTGATCCACTTTCAATTCAAACTTGAGTTGAGCCTTTGCACTTGCAGTTCACTTTTCAATTGGGTGCTCTCATCCTAACTTTATGCGGATGTTGGTTCCCTGCGTCGAGGTTTTGGATTAGAATGAACTTATCAACATAAGTCCTCCCATGGAGGCAGATTGTCTCTCTTCCTCCCTCAATTGATCCAGCAGTGCCTTTCATCATGGCATAGTTAGTGGGCTGTTTCTGGTGCTCTTCTGGACTATCCCTCATTTTTATTCCGGGATGTTACTGTATTTGGATGGTACTGGCGTATGCCATGGTTGGAGGAGTTGATTCCATTTGATGGACAACCTGTCTCTGTAGCATACCCAGATATCGGTGTGGGTCTTAAAACTCTTATTATTGGATTTGAGATGAAGATGGTATGATATCATCCTTCCCCAGTGTAGATGTCAGTAACCCACGGGGAGGTTATGAATGTAGTTGACTTACCGAGTACAGTCTGACGTGCCCTAGCCACTCTACAACTTACATTTCCACCCTTGTGCATTTCACAGTGTACACAGGGGTGAAAAGTATACCTGGCTCAGAAGTAATGCAGTTCCCCTCTTCTGATTTTCGGATCACTATCTCTCATGGTCAGGGTTATCATTCCGACGCCTTTGGAGGTACTTCTTTCATTCACATACACCGGTCCCTCCTCCTTTTCATTGTGGGATTCTAGCTAATTTTGTGAGAGGAGGTAGCTACCATATCAGCAGTTGTAATTTTCCCCATACTGAAAATGTATTTCCGATAGGTACTTACCTACTCTCACATTTCTCACCCTTCCTCCCCACTTTCCAGTGCTCACACCTTCTGCCAAACTTTGAAGTGCAGGTTAGGTAGAGGAGTGTAGAGGGAATCATGTGAGGACATCATGCTACTATTGGTTAAGAGATGATGCATGACAATTTGCATGAGAGACATATTTCCAACAGAGTGGGGTGTGCAAGGCTTGTGGAATATAAAGGGCAGCATTGAATAGCTAATGAGAATAGCTAATCTTGAGAGGAGGTAAATACCTATTGGTAATACATTTTCAGTAGAGGAAAATTATAACTTTCAAGGGATGTTAGTTTCTTAGCAACTATAAATAAACCTTGTCTTTGGAAGGGGCAGAAAAACTAAAGAAGTTGAGAAGTAGCATTCTTCAGAGCTGTGTAAAAATGTATGTTTTTATTCATTTTTCTTTGTGAATTACACTAAATCAATGTTGCAAAATGAAAAAATGTCAGTTCCAAAATATTTTTGAGTAAAAAATCTTGAAAAAAAGAGAGAGAGAAAAATTTTTTTTTCTATTATTTTAAAATTTGATGTGCAAGCATGTATTTGGCACTTGAAAGGTGCTCACTGGTCTGGAAGGAATTAACCAGCAATTTGTTTACCAAAAATATTTTTATTTAACGAGAAGCATTTCAAAGTATAGAAAATGCTTAATGATATATTCATGGTTTTATAATAAAACACTTAAAAATATTATAAATCTTTTATAATTATGCATTGTATTGTCATTGTTGTATTTCTGTACTGACTAGTTATCTTTTATTGGAATTAACTCTTTCAGTAGACTGCACATAAGTTTGTGTTCTAGTTCCTAACATCAGTATGTTTTGTCATAGAAGAAAATTAACATAACTTTCAAACAAATATAATTGAATACAAAAACATTGATAGAGCAGAGCAAACACTTAAAAAAGGTGTTATAATGTAGTTAATAAAAGTATAACAGAATTGTTGGTTAACTAGTAATTAAACGTTTGTTCTTCTTTAGATAATAAAGTATACATCTGGCACATCAAGAGAGAGATGCCAATTGCTGTATTGACAGGACACACTCGGACTGTGAACTGTGTCTCCTGGAATCCTACCTACCCCAGCATGCTGGCGAGTGCCTCTGATGATGGAACTGTGAGAATATGGGGCCCCAGTGAACAGTATTGTGTTAAAAGAAAACACAGAAGTAAGACTTAGTTATATAAGCATACCCTATTTCACTAATTATATAACGAAGTGATGATACATTTATATATATATATACACACACACACACATATATTTAGACCAAAACTAGTTGTTCTAAAATCGAAATGATCACTGGTGTTAACCTGTGCATATACTCTCCTTAACTTCGGTCAGTTACATGTATCCTTGATGATCAGTGTATTTTTATGTATCTATATATATATGTATATATAGATGTGCATATTTTTTTTACAACTTATAAGTAGATGGTCATGAATTCAACTTGATTTCCCAGATGTTCTAAAGTAATGTTGAAGTTTATAGACCTAAAATTTATTGATGTGTGTTATTGGTGATTTTAAGGAGAGTTATACATAACCTTAATTGGTGTTTAAACAACTGTTATGATTTGTAATAAAAAGTAATTTTGTGCGACTGTTTTAGTAGTAGTGTCATCTAATAAAGTAAACCATTTACCTTATTGTGACAACTATTTTACTAATGTTCTGATTTTCACATACTTTGACATGAATTGTTTGACTTGTTTGTAAGTTTCAAGATAGCTATACATTTCAAGAGAAGGAGGCATGATGCTCTAATATTTATTGTAAATAACAATTAGTTATGATCAGGAAAGGAAATGGGTTTTAGGAATTAGGTACATGCATAGAAGGAGCAGTTGGGTGATACGTATAAAAAAACAAATAGAAAAGATAGGAGGTTCTTATTTTATATTCTAGCTTGTCAATATCTGTAATTTTAGTTCATAATTCATAAAAAAACTTTAGACTTTGTATTTGGACATCACAAACATATAATTTGAACCAATGCTGCATTCAACATACCAAGTGACACACAAAAATCTATATTTAGGTGTGTTATTTTAATATTTGCTTTCAAATTAAGAAATTAACTGATGTATGATACTAAAATTTGAATTATAACCTACAATTTGATACCAAACTTATTGACATAAATTCATAAAATAGTAGTTCAATAAAATTTTGAATGTAAGTCAATAGAAGTGATGACATGGCCTTTGACCCATGATCATGGGGTTAATAAATGTCTTCAGTAGTACTAAACTTGACCAATGGAAAAAAAAATTGCAAACTGAGGACTGGGTACACAGCGTGTATCCCCATTTCCATCAATGGTTTTGATTATTTCATTCTTTGACCGTTGACTCTGAGATCTTTGATGAATTTGGTTGGAATGACCTAAAGGAAAATTTGTGAGGTGCGTGAGATGTGTCATGTGTATCAACAATTGAGTCTACAATTATTTTAAAATCATCTTTAATGAACTTCTTGCTCCATACTGTCAGTCTTTTGATATTAGTTGCTATGTTTTTAGCTTTGTGTGGGTTAATCTGATAGTTTTCTGTTAATGATTACTTTTAGGCCAATCCCCAAGTTCAAATACAGCTGTCTAGCACTGAGTGATATGTCTAGGAACTGACCAGTATCAAGTTTCAGAGAAGTATTTCAAGTTTTGGGCTCTCATCTCGTGTGTTTGGTTTGTCTTCCCCTTACAAGGATGTGTAGTTCAGTTGAAATATTGATTGGAACTTGTATGTTAAAATGAGTATCCTATGAGATAAGGTTCTGAAAGTGACATATGCATGTTTTTCTAGACAGAAACTTGAAGTGTTTTAGAGGAATTGAGAATTTCTTAGACAATTTTCTTTAGATTTCATATCAGTGTTTGTTTTTTTTTACTATAAAGATATCCTGGCCTTGCAGAAAGTTGACTGTATAATTCAATTAGTTAACACTCAATTGTTAAAAACAGTTACATAAAATTCACTTTGGTTTTAAGCTGCTTTTGATAATTTACAGTGGGGTAATTGGTAATTTTTGTTTAGAAAGACCTAATAACCCATGTTTTTTTAAAGGTAATCTTTTTTATGTGAGATGTATTGTGTGATCCTATGTACCCCTTTTACTATAGAAGCCAACTTTGTGATTTTAATTATTCAGTGTTAATCATAAAACCAAACTGTTGTTTTTTCTTGGCTGACCAGCTTTTATGAAATTTACAGATTATTTATAATAAAAATTTTTTTTTTTCATTTACAACAGCTTTATGTTTCATGAGTAATGCATTAAACAAGAATATTTGTTGTTTCTTACCTTCACCAATTTCTGCTTAAGAGAAATTTTAAAAAGGCTTATTTACCTGTTCTATCACCACTTTACTCTGAGTTTAACAAGTTTTGGGGAATATCATTTCTATTACTAATGTTGTTCTAGACTGAAGTGAAAGATATTAACAAAGCCAGTTTATTTGAGACAAAAAAATTTAAAATTACCATAAACAAGACTGTGTTAGGCCTAATAAGTGGTGCCACCACTGTTTTATTATGTTATTTATGGCAACTCTTATTTATGGTTTTAATGTGTCAAAAGCAAAAAAAATCTTTCTGACCTATGTAAAATATATATGTTTGGTGTTGAACATTTGTTTAGAAGAACAATATGAGAAGTAATGTAACAAAAAGTCCTGGTCTTTAGGTATCTTATACTTCCCCTTCATTCAGTAGAAATATGTTTTGACATGTAACATAAATGTTTCTTAGGTCATTCAGGATTGTAGTTGGTACATACGTTATCTTAGCCTAAAAGTATAACAAATCTTATTTAGTAACATGAAACAGTTAATACACAGTTCAACCTAGGACACTGAGTATAGTTTTGTATACAAATATGTATAGAATGAATTAATGTTCAAATATAATTTTCACTGTTGAATGTAAATGGAAGCTACATTGAGTTAAAAACCATTATGGTTGACAAAAATTGTGAACTTCTGTGAAGTGTGGATTTGTTTCTTGTTAAATAACAAAATATACAACTGTTTTGTTGTATTGTTTATAATGAGTTTTTCAGAATACAAAGGATTAAAGTTGAGTTTGAATATTCTTTCTTCAGATCCATACTCAAGTATTAGTGTGGAATTTTTACACGATATGTAAGGCTTCAGACTTATTCTCAACTGTTCATTGTCCAGATGGTTTAATTGAGGACTTGGACAAAAAACTATGGCTTGCATGGTTTAATCTCATAATGTTAAATGGTAGAGAACTTCATAATAAAATAGTCTGTCAGTCCTTTTGACCAATTATAATTATTTATGAGACACACTTCTCTACAGAAAACTTGTCAGATCATGTCTAGAAGTTTATCATATTATTTTACAGTTAATTCAATATTTTTACCTCTTCTGTAGCAAATAGTCCAAATTATTACCAAAAAAAACAACAACTGTTTCATTACAGTTTGTAGAGAATTAAGGTTTTTTTATAAGCAATGCTTGAGTAAGGAAGCACATTATGCTTATATAATAATAATAATACAACAAACAAGGTAAACAAACAATGATTTATAAGCATAAGGAAAAGTTTTATTGATGGTGGCACATACTACTGTTTCGACAGAATGTTGGACTGTCTTCTTTAGATATGATCAGTACTAAGCAATACAAGGTTTATATATATAGTTATGAAGGTAAAAGACATAGGGATTAAATGTGACAGAAATAGTGTCAGCATACCTTTACCTATATCCTGTTACCTGCTAACACCATTTTCATCACATTCCTGTGTCTTTTTAGCAATATATAAACCATGTATTGCATATTACTGATCATACCTGAGGAAAACAGACCAATGTTCTGTTGAAACATGTATGTTCCACCATCAATAAAACTTTTCCTTATGCTTATAAATCGTTTTTTGCATACCTATTATTATAAGCAATGATTATTTAATTTTTAATGATTAATTTGATTTTCTTTTATTAAATTACCATAAAAAGTATTCAGTGATTGGATTATTTTATTATGTTTGTGGAGTTTTGTTTCATTCACTAAACTGAAAGCATGTTATTTCTTCAGTTCAACACTAATCAAGTGAACTGAATATATTACTTCTCACCTTCAGTATAAACACCATTGTTAATAGAATGTACTGAATATATTACTTCTCACCTTCAATATAAACACCATTGTTAATAGAATATACTGAGTATATTACTTCTCACCTTCAGTATAAACACCATTATTAATAGAATATACTGAATATATTGCTTCTCACCTTCAGTATAAACACCATTATTAATAGAATATACTGAATATATTACTTCTTACCTTCAGTATAAACACCATTGTTAATAAAATATACTGAATATATTACTTCTCACCTTCAGTATAAACACTAGTACTAACTGCATAAACTAAGTACAGTATTTCTCACCATCATTTTAGACACAAGTGCTAATCAGTCTTAACACATGTTAATTAATGGAAATAAGAATACAATATGGCTCATGTTTAAATAAGTACAGTTGCTAAATGATGATGTTAAAGTTTATATTTTTCTCATATTCTTAGTTTCCCATTTGTCTTACTAATAAAACCCATTGATCTAGAATGTGTGATAGATACCACATCTGAATTTTAGAATTTTTAGTTGAATTGTGTTTCTACAGTGACTGATATAGCTGTGTTGAATAGTGTGATCTATAGAGGATTTGTTTATTCATACATTAATATTGTGAAATTAATATTATTAGTTTACTCTGTCACCCAAACATGAGTGGTAGCTATATGCAAGTGATAACAGGGTTTTTTGTTATCAGTGGTTAAAAAGGTTCTTTTTCTAACTTTTTCTCTTTTTTTTTGAATTACTTAACATCTTTTCAACTTATTTATTCTGCACAAAACAATGGCTAATTTTTATGCATTTGAGAAATTTTACAAACCTTTGTCATTTTTCTCCATATACATCACTTTTAAATATGATCCTAGATTGCAAGTATATTTATAAATTAAAAAAGGACTAAGCACATGTTATCACAAAGAATAGTGTGCAGTTAAAACAATAGCATATAACCCTTCTTTCTTGACTCTGATGTATCATATGGGTATGGTAATGATCAGTTTGGGAGACAATATGTTAAACAAAACAGTCCTAACACATAGGTCTAGAACAAGTTT